TTTCTTTTCTTTGAAATTTTTGAAGATTTTCACAATACTGTTGCTTTCTCTGATGGCATATCTGTTGTAGAAAGAAAAAGAGTGTAGCCGTTAATTCTCTGATACAGAGGTGTAGAGCAGGGAAGTATCGCACCTATTTCCAACAGCATACTTACTCAGATGAGTCATGTGCCCAGGCAAACTCCTGTGCTGAGCCGAAGCTCTTGTTCCTCAAAGCCATGGCAGTATAGATGATATACTCTCCATCTCCGCACACCACAACAAACCTGGTGCACACAAAAAATGCATAAACGAGTGACAAACATTATTTCAAATCCATCTCTAATGTGGGAAACAAAAATAAACATATTCAAGGATCATTCACTTTCATAACAGTGGTGGTGGTGCTCATGTCTGCCTGGTTCTGAAATACTCATAACCAGCCAAAGGACCTGGGTTGAGTGCATGCATACCTTCCATTAGGGTTGTGCTGAATGGTTTGGGGGTAAATCTCACAGCTTCCCATGTCTTTGACAGCCAACGGCAGCCTCTCTCCGTCCTTGATCTCAGCGTCCCCCATGGCCTTCAGGTTGGCTTGCTGTACCTCACTGTGTTTGGCCCAGATGATTTTTCCGTTCGCATCCATAGACATCGCTGGCTCCTCCCGACCCACCTACACAGCGGACGTCGACAGAGATATTTGATTGTATACACAATACAATTCATCTTGATGTCTTTAAAGATACACTTCCTTTGTAAGCCACTTGTTTTTTTTCCTGCACAACTCATTTTTCTTCTATATTACTATTTAGCAGTATGTAAGGGCGTATAGTAAGTGGTTCTTTTCAATCAAAACACATTTTTTTAGAATCCCTCTCTCTTCTGCTCACCTTGATAATGATGCTGCCTTCATCGTAGCCCAGCGCCACATTGTTGGAGCCTCTGAGGCCGCACACACACCACACTCTCTCCATGCCATAGTTCAGAGTACTCTCCAGGCGGTAAGTGCTTGAGTGCCAGATACGCACCGTACCTAAAGTTGCATAAAGCAATGATCAATCAGGCCATGAGGTGAGATGCATTGTGGGGGCAGAGTTGAGGATGAGTGCGATTCCTGCTCACCGTCCTCTGATCCGGTGATGATGATGGGCAGCTCGGGGTGGAAGCTGACACAGGAGACGTTCTGGGCGTGGCCCTCCAGAGTCTGAACACAGGTCTTGTTCTACAACACACAGAGGAAGAAAGTTAAACATATAGACACAATGCTAAAGGATGCTCACAGAAATGATGTAGCTGATCAACGATGAAAATATGCATTCAACTCTTTCAGCAAGCTATAATTGTTTATTTTTCATAATGTAAGAAAAGGAAATTAGCCTGCGTTCTACTTAAGAGTTAATTAGTTCCATGATTCGTGTTATGTGGCTTACTTTCACCTTCTTGTGAATGAAAATCATTTACCTGGTAGTCCCAGATCTTTACTTGGCGGTCATCAGCCCCAGAGATGAGGTAGGGCTTGTCTCCTCCACTATAGTAGTCAATACAATTGACCCCTTTCTCATGACCCTCCAGAGTGAAATTGGGAGACGAAGAGCCTAGCTGCCAAACCTGAAAAAAGCCAGAGGACACAGCAGAAAATCAATGAATGCACTTCAAAGACTTTTAATTATAAGTACATCATAATTGTATGTCTATAATTAAAAAGGCAAGAATGTGCTTAATTTATAGTAATTATAAATCTGTAAAGCAGAAGGATCTGGGTGTCCCACGGTCCCAATGACAAGATCAAATTAGAAGCAGTAAAGACATCAGCAAGCGGCCCCTACCTTAATCGTCCTGTCCAGGGAGGCACTGGCAAACTGGTTGTTGTCCTTGGGGTTGATGACTATCTGCATGACATAGTGAGTGTGGCCCTCGAACACCTGGCTGCATGACCACTTCTTCTCCCAGTCCCACAGCTTGATCAACATGTCATCTGCACAGAAATACATTCATGCTTGTGTGCACTCAAAACAAATGCATTTGAGGACACTGGTAGAAAGAGACCTTTGAGTTTTTGAATCATTATGTCAGAAGAGGATGCTACCCATCAATATATGATATATATACGTATAAGTTGTATGGGCTTACCACTGCTGGTGAGGATATAGGGCTGGGTCGGATGGATGGCGATGCAACGGATGTAGTCAGAGTGGGCCTCAAACATGTGGACACGCTCCAAGGTGTTGTAGTTGAACACTCGGATCTGCATGTCATCCTGCTCAGGGAGAAAAACAATTGGAATATTAGTTTAATACACTAAATGAACACAAAGATAGACGAGAGTAAAATACATTCCGATATAAACAGTTGGTATATGCTATTTGAGTCGAACACAATGAGAAAAATGTAACGCAAAACCATCAGATGTAAAATATTGATGTGACACCACTGCTCAAGGGTTTACTGCACATGCCCACACAACATATAGTTAAACTCACACGCTCAGGTTTATACTACTAGCTTGTATAACTGCTGGTGTTAAGGATGACAACTGTCAAAGTCATGAAACTCACCGCTCCTGTAATGACCCAGTTCTTCCTTGCCACAAACTTAGAGGCTCTGACCGGGAGGTCACATACTTCAAAGGTCTTGACGAGAGTCTGGAAACAAAGAACAGTGCTGAATCCGTGTGCAACATCATCATCATACTTAGTGTTAATCTGTGTTCCGTAATGCAGCTTTGTATGGGTGGCCCATCGATAAGTGATCCCACCTGTGTTTCGTGGTTCCACACACAGACACTGCCGTTGTACAGACTGGCAAGCATCCATGGCTCGGTCGGGTGAAGGTCCACACTCTTCACTCGGTCGGACCGAGCCGTCAGCCTCCGCTTGATGTCCAGCCTCAGAGGCTGAAAACACAAGAGGACATCTGGGTCTTTTCCTTGTTCCTCCGACGTTCAAACTCTCAATATGAGTGCCATTACGGGGTCATTTAGCTAATGACACAGCTATAGCTTCCGAGTAAAGACCCACAATAATGACAGGTAGCCAAATAACCGTTAGCATGTTAACATTAAGCCATAAATATTTCAATGATTCCAATAATCGTAAATGTATAGCTACACCCCATCATAATTAATTCGACAACTGACTCAAAACAAATGCAACCACATATAACTTAAGCTTACAAACAGTCGTTGTTTAACAATTTAAATAGCAGTTAGCTACAAGTTATCCTGCTAGCTCAAGCTAGTTAGCCGCTAAGGTATATACAATGATGCATTTCTATTTGACAATTCCACCGTCCTTTTAAACATGAACAAGGACACTCCGATGACCTGTACGGAAACAAAACATGCTGGGGACTATATTAAATGTCTCTTACCATGTTTTATCCCCGTGTTGTCACAATAAAATCAGTTAAATGAGATGGGAGCAGTTGCAATAGGGGTCCGACTGGTGAACAGAGCAGTACTGACGTGGAACTTCCTTAATATCAATCTCGCGTGAGTTGTGCTCTGGAAGTGATGACGTGACACGAAGGTCTGCTCTACAGTCGATGGGTCTGATGGGTCTCACGGTGGCAGGAAACAAACCTGCATGGTTTGTTATGACTTTGCGGTGCCCTTATAACATGATAATTTCATATTACTAATGTGCTCTACTTTGGATTTGTCTGAGATTTACTGAGCAATACCTTGGTGGGAGGCCCATTGCAGCACATCAAGTTCATCTTTTTTTTTCATCTTACTTTAATTGATTGAATTCAATTAATGGCACTAGAGGTGACTGAGATCCCTGACATGGCCTTGAATTTGTGAAAGATGTTCTTTCTCTTTTTTTCTTCCCTTTCTCTTAACTTTTTGTCATTATAGCTACAGATACCAACACATATTAAGTGTTGTTAATCATGAGTAAGATGTCATTGTGACAAGAAGGCTTTCTTGTACGAAGAAAAACAAAAAAACTATACTAATTAGGCCATATTGTAACCCGACTGTGCGGTATCAAAGCACAATTGGCCTGATTACAAATGGCCGTCATTCAGTCCTTTACAAAACATCTATGTAGTAGGCCTACACCTGTAAGTGTACAGTCAAACTGATGATAGCGAGTAAAGAGGGGAGGGAATTATTTAATATACTTAACCATCTTTATACTGTAGATAGTTTTTAAATGTTAAATGCTTAGTTTCTCTGTTCTACTTTGTTGTCTTTAATGTCCTTGTTTTCATATTTTTCTTGTTTATTTGTATATTCTGTGTATGTACGTTGAGAGCAATGTGAAAACCGTAGTCAAATTCCACATGCGCACGCCAATAAAGCTGATTCTGATTCTGATTCTGATCCACCAACTAGTTTCCTTACAAACCATGACTTTAATTGAACCATTTAGAAATTAGCTTTACTATAAACATAATCATTACATGTGTCGCTTTCAATTATCGCGTTTGTTTATTGAGTTTGTTTATCGGTAATAGTATTCTATAATCATAGTCATCAGTTGTATCAACTTTTCCAGACACGTCTTACACTACCTAAAGTTGAAAGTTGTAATATCTGAGGCTTAGATCTTTTTCTGTTGTTGTTACATATAATGTAAAAATAATATTTATAATATAATCTCATCTCACCCCCAAAATACTACCATGTTTCCCCAGCAGATGGCAGTTGAAGCATTAGTTTATAATATACCCCTCTGTAGTACACTGTAAGATGTGTTCAATGTAATGTGTAGCAGATAAACAATGTGAAGTTATAACTCTTCTAAAAGTCAGTTCATGAGTTTGATATTAGTTTGGCTGTCTAGCAGCCACCATGTATAAGGTAATACTTTCATTCTCTCCTGATGTTAGACCCATTGTAAACACGCACATTTGAAGTTAAATAATTAAAATAACATGTTTGTCTTTATTCCTACACAACACAATATGTATGTGTAAAAAGCACCTATATTCATTTTGTTTATATGTTTGGGAAACCATGTTATTGTGGAGCAAACAAAGACCTTGTCAACCGAGTAAATGAAAATAAAAACATACATTTGCCTTTTATTCTTTTCTCTTGAACATCTGAACACAAACTATATCTTCACACGTCAGCTCCTGTGGGAGGAAATAAAGAGGTAATTATAAAAAACAAGAGCAGAGCAATAACAGTGTTAAAACTGTCCTCATCATACTTAATAATCACATTCTGCTGTGCAATACATGCCACAAATCTAACACATTCAACACTCTTTTTAACCATCAGCCCATGTTCTGGTTCAAATACAAATCCAACTATCATGACAGATACTGTCAACCCACCAGGTAGAGTTTGTCTCCTTCGATCCAGTGTTTCCAGCCACGGTTGGCCTTCTCTCCTTTCTGAGTGCACACCAGCTTGTCCCCCTCCCAGGTCACCAGACACTACAAGACACCACATGTAGTCCATTCATTAAACAACAAACATAAGTCATTATTTAATACACATTTAAAGTATATTTTACTTAAACCATGTTAGATAATGTCCTCTCAAAAAATCCCTGCCTCCACCTCTTACATGACTACTTTTACCAGGCTCGCTTTTCTAACCTGAAGGTTTATGCCGCCATGAAGACTCACCAAATTAGGATTACTTTCATCTTGATGTTCAATTAGCATTGAATAAAAGCAGCTTCTAGTGTAGACTTATTATAGTTGCTCTTCTTTTGGCAAGGAAATGTACTAAATGTCAGTGGGCCTCTGTGGAGAAATTATAACTGAACACTATCATCAAAAAATTGTTTAATATATTTTACTGGCTTATGAAAATACAATGCTTTGTTTTTTCCCATGTTACCTCCAGTTATTTCACGAGTCAAATTAAAAACAAATCTTTTTTACTATAGGAAAATAGTAATGGCTTGATAATGAAAAGGGAATGGATAAAATGCCTGCAGGTATCAGGTGCACCATTGTCATGTCATTTTGTGCAACAAAGTCATTAGATGTCAGGGATATTATGAGAGGCTTAAGATGTAGACTGACTTCAAAGACTTTGTATATGAAAGATCAACCCACCTTGATGTTTCTGTTGTCTAGTCCTTTGGTGTGCTCATCAAACTCAACCCCTACAGTGAAGGCGAGCTCATAATTCCTGAAGGTGCTCAACGTTTTGAAGTTAAACTTGTCTCCATCTTGGGCTACCACTTTGGTCTGAGATAGGGAGATAGCAATTTTCCTTGTGGCAAAGTCAATATCTAGGGCCAGAATAGAGAGACTTGATTATAAAACCTTTTCAAGCTAGATTCTGGGATATATATACACACACACATATACATTTTTTTTATTTTTTACAGGAATAGATAAAGTAATGTGGAGATTTCCTTCACTTCTGTGTTTAGTTTGTCCCAAGTTAGTATACTTAAGGTCTGGATTTCTGTCCATGATACAGAAATCCAGACCTCATGACCATGAATAATGTTACATGAAGATATGTATGTTGTTGTTTTTTTAAATCTGAATCATTTTAGTATTTGGCATCATAGTTGTTGTATACTCAATAATCTGTGGCAAAATCATTACCTGAGAAAAACATGATTGGATTGAACAATAACTTTGTTATACTTGTACAGCTTTTCCAACCTGTAACATCACCTTGAAACACTAGTTTAACACATAACATCTCATGCAAAATGAAACCCACCAAAATTAAAAGTTTCTTACTCAACACTTTCAAATACTCCTCAAATTTGTCATTGGTTTCCAGTATCCATTTCCCACTGAAGTTTGCAGGCATGGTGGCAGCTGGTGACGCTAATGTGTGTGTGTAGACTTTAGACAGTGTATGGAGGGGAAAGGTGCAGGGTGTCCTCCTGCTTATATATAAATCAGGGGGCATGAGGGCAGATAACTATTGATAAGTGAGTTTATAGCTTGAAGGGGATTGGCAGGGGCAATTGTTTTTGAAGGGGGAAGATTCACCCTTTTTTTCAGTCTTTACACAGTCATTGGAGGAGGTTGCCCCCTCACTTATCACACACACTCACACACACACACATGCAGACGCTGCAAAGGTGGTCAGTGTACAGTGTACAGACAGGAGAAGCTATTTTGCAACATCTGCCAACAGTGTGTGCTCTTTATTTGTTCAGAATACACAAACTTTTAGCATGAAGGTCAATAAAGTTCAACTGGTTTTGAAGTTTTAAAAGCTCAGCATTTGTGACTAATTTTGGACTTCATTCATACGTCCACAAAGTCTGCTCTGAATAATAATTTCTGTTGTGGATTTCCTCAAAAAAGTTGAATTAGTTTGAAATAATCCTCTCCTTGTCCCTTTCTGAAAATAAATCCAGAATCTAGGAATTAGCAAACTTTTCTTTGTTGAAAAGTTTAAAGGTATAATCCTTGAAATTTAGCAAACCCACTTTTATACTATTTCTGGTTTGCATTTATACTGCTTAAGCTATTAAATGGGCTTACACTTATTAAACCTTTCTTTATGGTACTTTGCATTGTCAGTGGCGGAGTCCGCCGTTCTGATATATGCACAAGAGATTGACAGGAAACTTGTGCTCCCAGTGATCGATATCTGAAGGAACACAGGGACTTGTGTTGTAAAAATGTTCTTATTACCACCAGTGACCACAGGTGTTTCCAAATCAACCAGGACTAAAATCTTAAGGCTAACAACTTTTACTACTGGACACAAGATGTCTCCTACTTCGCCTTCCATTCTCTGTGAGCACAGAGAAGTGTTCCTCCTTCAGCAGATCAATGTGAAAACAGTCTCCCATGTGTCGATTCTGCTCGTAAACCATTCTGCACAGTGAAGGTCAAACAGCCAAGTGAAGCAACAATAAGAAAAACAAAACTTTTGAGCAAAGGGGGACTTCAAAATTAAGCAGTGGTTAAAAAAATCCTCTCCTGTATTGAGCTGTTTTCCTGTCGATTGCTGATCCAAATAAGAGTTGCAGACCAACCTTGCACTTAGTAGAAACGTTTTATTGAGCATAAATGCAAATGCAGATTTTATCCTGGCGCCATGACTCTGTTTCAACCCCTCCCTGAGACCATCACTTTTCTGAACCAGTCAGAGCAAGAGCAGGGAGAGATCAATAACAAACCCACTGGGGAACCATAAATAAACAGAGCCCGCAAGGTATAGGCGCCGGCGGGAGGCTGAACAGTAGGGCGAGCAGCAGCACCAGTGGCAAAGAATGAGCAAGTAAGTTGGATAGTTTATGCAGACTGCCCAATTAGTAGGCTTCATGAAAATGCACAAAGTGAGCTGACAGATGAGCTGATTCAGAGCACAGCGTGGCTCAAGATGTTTGGCCGGAGCTCCGCGGGCTTCACTGAAATTCTCAAGTAGAGGCCACTTGGATTTTTTTAAAGCATGTCTGGAAAGGCGTTTTCAGATAAAAGGAGCTTCAAACTGCTGATCTGTTGGCCTGTGAAGCTACAGTAAACAGCAACCGACCATTTTGACGCTTTGTCTGTTTGTGCGACTGAGCTGCCGAACACATCATTTCCTTTTTCCAACAAGTCTGATTAACAAATGAAATTGCAGGTTTAACCGCTCAGAAAAAGACAAACTACATTATTGAGCACTGTTTACTTTATTGATTGATTTTACTATCAATGGCACATTCCCAAAGGAGCTGGGAGGGATAAATACGCACATCATGTCTAATATCCATTCTGGAGACAAAGCATCAGCAGTCGAAATTTAAAGCCTTCAAACACACTCAGATTTTCAGCTTCGTCATTCAGAGGACTAAACTGGGATTAACTCACTGCTCTCTTGTCTTCACTGCCAGCCTTTACCTTCCCACTGCTCATTTCATCGCGTTGCGTTATCAATGTGGTTCACCTATCAGATCAGCTACACCTACAGTAGCGGTATGCATGCATCCAACACATCTAAACTTGTTAATTAAAGGAGCTCCCACCCTGAGACAGATACACAGTATTGCATTTGTTGATGTTACATGATATACACACTGCCCTGCCTATTTAAACGGGCTTCTGCAGACTACGGTAACAGTCTTGGTGGAATATAAATTACATTTATAACAATAAACACATTGGGTAGACGGACATAGGGAGAGATGTATGGGTGGACCAAAGCGGGGTTGGATGGTATGTCAATGGCGTGGGATGTGTCTGGCGTCTCTCTGTAGGGACGATGTCAGCAGGGGGCACCGCCTCGTTCAATAAAAGCCATCTTAGGCCTTCTTGAAAATCTGCTGGCAAACAACTCCTGCAGCTCTCAGCTCCTGCAGAGAACAAAAGACATTTTGGATTTATTCGATTTTCATTTTGACTAATGGGAATGACCAGGCGGATGACAGAAGCTTATCCCTACTGTCTCGCCTGAATTATAGCCTACAATGTCAGATAACAATTTGTCTGACTTAGCAACAGTAAATATGGGTGGGAAGGCCTGAGGATGGGTCAGTTATTAGTAAAGGATGCATGGAGACATTGAATACACAACATTTTGAATAATTTAGGGCACACTAGAGGCCAGGTACAGTTTTGTGGAATAGGTGGAAGGTATTGTCTTCCACCAGAGGCCACTGCTGCTTCACATTCAAACCCTCTTTCAGCTCGTGGAATTTTCCAACTAATAACGAATTTCATAGCCACTGATTGAAAACATCTGTTGGCATCATTTGCAACCAAATTATTTGGTGGATTATTTTTGCTTAGCTTTGATAGCAGTAATCACACAGAGGAAAATCTGATCATGCTGAGCTAATGAAAATGGTAATGTGCTAGTCATTACTTTTAAAATCTTTTCAGATGCTAATGATTCATTACAGGCCACACTGGGCCACACTATGAACTTCACAGAGGAGATGTTTAAACAAAAGTGATTGAAGTTCTTCTAACAGAAATTAGATTTGGAAAAGTCAAGATAATAACAGTGGCTGTTATTGCTATGTGCTATGTGTGGGTCTCAGTTCATGGCGTTGGCAAGTAAATGCAGTACCAGACACTTGAGAACCAAAATATATAAGTCTGTTTTTTTCCCTTAGAAACAGTATCTTTAGAGGAAGTTCCTTATGCAGAAATAGTATGATTTACTTGGCATTAAAAGAGTTACATACACATACACATGCACCTCACACAGTCTAATGTTAGTGCTGCCAGAGCTGGTGGGCCAATTCAAGAGTCACACATAAAAATACAGCACACATACAGTGCTGAGAGGCAATTTGGATTTGGATTAAAATGTCCAAATTGCATGCATTAATATTCATGGCAGGAGCTGATGTTTTCTTACCAGATGAAGCTCATCTCCACCCACCCAGTGGGTCCAGCCTCTTCCTTCAATCTCTCCCTTCTGCACACACACCAGTTTGTCTCCCTCCCAGGTGATGGTGGTCTGGTATGAGGTCACAGGTCAGGGAGACAATGGGATTATAATACATGAAGGTGCAGCATTTATTCAAATCTAACAATGCGGATGCATGAACATATGGATATAAACATATATGCTGAGTGAGAGGCTCAGTCTTCCATCAGCCCTATTAAAAACAATGATTCTGACAAAAATCTGCACATACAGTCACACGTGACCCTTTTCTCTCATTCCCCCTCCAGTTTATAGCTTATCTATAATCAGCCTATCAACATACAAAAGAAGCGTTTTAAAGGAGGACCACCGATAATCTTTGATCCTATTCAGTATTCATGGACGCAATCTGATTCAAAAAGTGTGAGTCTTGACGTAGTTCTCTGCCTCTCCCACTTATTTTCCTGCAGTATTTGACACTGCTCTTGATTACATCAATTCATTGACACAAGCGTGAAAAGTTTGAGGAAAGTTTTGTATAAAATCCGACCACACTACTATATGCTCATTGAGTACGGTGGGCTGCCACGTAGAAAAGTTAGATATACACTTACAGGTTTGGCACCAATGGGAGATCGGGAAGCTTTAACAGGTTTCTCAAAAGTTTGAAACAGTATCACATCATGTGTACATTCATTCAAATCCCCCTGGAGACACTGGCTACAAATACTCACCATGCATTTCCTGTCATCCACTCCAGACAGATCCTCCTCAAACTCTTTGCCCACATGGAAGTCCATGTTGTAGTTTTTGAAGGTGCTGAGGGTCTTGATGACTATGTGGTCCCCATCGTGGGAGATGTCCTTGTCTGGCTTCAACAAGGTGGCGATTTTCCTGATGGCAACATTGACATCTGCAACAGGTACACAGAGGGAGGGGGAAAATGGATACAAAGAAAGTTTCAGACATATGTAGGTAGAGATTTACAAATGGTTAGATACAGCAGTGTTTGTATGTGTAGCTGATATTCCTAACAATAAGTATCACAGCAAATTCAGTCTCCTCTCATTATAGTACAATGTGAGACATGAAACAACATTCTGGATAGCTGCAATCACTGCCCAAGAGTTAAAATATTAGGATTTTTTATAAATAGTAGAGGATTATTTCCAGGTATTAATGCCAACTTTTGCTGCTATTGAGAGCTCTAATGATGATATGTTAACCCCAAGCCTTTACCTTCCCAAGGCCCGTGCTGCACTATCGCCAGCTACAAACTCACCAAGAGCCTTCAGGTACTCCTCGAAGTTATCACTGGAAATCATTTTCCAATATCCGTTCAGATCAGCTGGCATTTTGGCGGTTGCTCTGCTGCTTTCCTTACTCCCAGTGAGTGATGAAGAGGTCCGCTGGTCACGGCTACTTGTGCTACAGTGCAGAACCTGCTGTCAAAAGCCCCAATTTGAACCAAATTCACTTTAATCCGATTACCTCCCACTTCTCTCCCTCGGTCGACTCCACGTAAACACTCAAGCCTCCCCATGCTTTTCCTACATATTGTATGCTGGTATGCATAATGTAGAATAGCCTTATGTTGGAGAGGGCTAACTCTGCCTATACGGGATTAGGATGAATACACTTCCTTTATTGTGATTGTGGCTAAGTGGATAGCAGGGCCGTCTTTCAATCAGAGGGTCGGCGGTTCGAACTCCGGCTCCGCTAGTCGCATGTCGATGTGTCCTTGAGCAAGACACTTAACCCCAAAATTGCTCCCGTAGCTGTGCCTACGGTGTAGAAATGTGATAGACTCTGAATTGCAAGTCGCTTTGGATAAAAGCGTCTGCTAAATGACTGTAATGTAATGTAATATTAATTGACACAGGTGCATTCATATGGAGTTCCACATGTGGCAGATTTGGCCTGGTTCTGAGGTAATTTTAATCATATTATAATTATGATGCTGGGCCATCAACAATCACCAGAGTGGACCACAAAGTGTGGATAATATGCACAGTACAAAAGCAGAATCACCTGAGCTTAAAATGATCTGGCAGGAAAAATGAAATGTCGCACAACAGGACTGTCATATCTTTTGTTTCGCCTAGATAACTCAATTAATTTGATAATCTCTCTTTTGCAGCAAACCCACTGTCTAAATCCTTTACTGACTGGGACACACACACACACACACACACACACACACACACACACACAGTCAGTATCAGTCACAGTGGCGCTTCCAGCCACTGGCCTCAGTGAGAAAACACCTCCTGTAGCTGAGCAACTGTCAGGATTACTTTAAAAAAATAGAGGCTCACAGACAGTGTGTGTGGATGATAATGGTGAAACTGAACAGATCCACAATGGAATGCTGTCGACAGGCTGCTGCAGAGCAGGGACACCAACAATGATCTTCACGAGAGAGGATCCAGTTTAAATTTCTACAATTAAAAACGTGCATATGTGTACTAGTACATACAATCTACTCACACAAACACACACATGGCTCTAATGTTAAGGCCGATTCTTAGATTGTTAGATATATAAAGGCAAACAAAAAAATGAATAAATAAAGTTTTCCGTATTCCTCCACCAGCATGTCACACATTTAGACAGCATTTTATACCATTTTGTCAATTTTTTAAAAAACATGACAACTCCTGAACATATTAATGGATATTTGCACCTTGAACTATGATTTCATTTTTGGCTGCTTTTACCTTGCCTGCTTTCTGAAAACAGAATCAATTATTTGCTCATAGGATTCAGTTTTGAAGGTCTTTAGTTCTTATTTTCTAAAATATCTTAACGTCAGACAATAAATGTTTCAGTTTTAATAAAGGTTGGTCAACTGTGTCCAGGATTATTGTGGGATTTGGGTTGTTGGGACGACTTGGATTCATGAACTCATTCAGTCCAAAATCCTGGTCATGGTTATTATTTCATACATTTAGACAGCTACAAGGAAAAAACACCGCTCAGACAAATTCATTTTAAATATACAGGATATTTATTTCCATTTATCCAGCTCTGCAATGATGTGAAATGTGCAAAACTACAAAAGGATGAAAACTTTTAGCAAACAAATATTCATTGACACTGTGACACAAAGATGAGGCTCAGTATTTGCAACAGTCCATGCGTAACTGTATGATTTCAGGTTGTGCAAACCTCTATCACACTGCAGTTCAGTGGAGGTTAAGAGAACTTCCAGTCCCTGAAGAGAAGCACCAATCTGTGAGTGAATGTTCAGCTCTATGCTGCAGCAGTCCATCTATCAGTCATCCAGACTCTTCACAGCCTGTTTGGCGAGCGGCCTGAGGACCGTGTCCTCATTTATCCTCTCGCTGTCATGTGTGTAGAGGTTGTGCTGGTGAATATATTCTATCACAGAGTTTGGGATCAGGTATTTCACACTCAGATCCCGTCTCAGAGCCCGGCGGACCTCTGTGGCGCTCGTCTCGTTCCTCACCCATTCCCTCACAAGGAAAATGTTTCGACGGTGGCGCGAGAGCGTGTCCGACACGTGCACGGCTCGCTCGGGCTCAAGCCCCCCTCGACTGACGCAGACGAGGCCGAAATGTCCAACCACCTCCTCCACGTGGTCGTCCTGCCACAGGCCAGGGATCTTGAAGGTTTCCAGGAAATCAGCTCCACACAGAAGCTTTAACTGGGGACAGGGGCCTGAGGGGAGAGGCGGAGTGAGATAGTGAGGAGGACAACTGCTTAATCTTAACTAACAAAGCTATGTTTGAATATTAAGAGAAGACATATGTTGATATGCAGCGAGGGGCCAGAGCTACAGCTCGATATGATGTATTTTGAGAATATAACACGCCCATGATTAATAATTCTGCTGTATGATGCTTGTTGATGTAAAGAATGCCTTATGACACCAACAACAACGGGCTTGCCTCAACTCAGAGCCTTAAATCCTTTCTTTTTAACGTCAAAAAGTATTCACTCGTTAGACCAATCCACTGGCTAATTCACTATCAAGCTACAACAAATGGCAAACCCATAACAAAAGATTGAAATGTCTCCTAGAATGAGAGCTCATATTGTTGAGGAGCAAATTCAACAACTTGAGGCACTAGTGTTGTGAACATTTTGAGTCTGCACCAGGCAAATGAAAAACCCGAACATTACTAAAACTGACTGACTAGTTCTAAACATTCCACAACTTGAGATATTCACAGTGCTGGAGGCTAAAGAAACACATATCAACAACAATTATTGGGAGCTCAAATGTTGCCAAAAACGCTCAAACTGAAGTTTGACTTGTGTTTAGAAGACTCAACACAGAATAAAATAAAAAGGAGACCAAAGCAGCGAACCAACTTTTTTGTTGTTGCAAAAATACAAATTTTATCCGATTAATTTTTGATAGATCTCACAGCTGACCGTAGATCTTTATGCACTGTTGTGTAAAAATGCAGAAGGGCCCAAACAAATATCCTTAGAAAGGATTTGAAAGTCTTCATGGTATTAAACCTCTCCCTAATACTCTTTAACCACATTTACTCAGGACCACAGAGCACAATTAGGCTTTGCACTGTGCACGTGCTAAGCACGGGCACAACAGTAGGGATTGATGCAAAGCCTTAACCCTAACGTTGTTAAAGGGATTGTTAAAGGCGCGATGAAGTAATGTGCTGAAAATAAATCAAGCACTTAACAATGGAAGAGAGCCAACAGTCACGCGAGTGGATCTGTAAGGCTGTACTTGCACTAAAGTTAGCATGTTAACATGCCAAGAATAAAAATGTTACATGTATGCATTTTGTGACCTGATGACGGTGTGTTCTATGATGTTTACCCTGTTCACCATCTTAGTTTAGCATGTTTGAATGCTAATATTTGCTTTTTAACACTTGACACAATGTGAGTCTGAGCCTGTGTCATTAGTTTAGCAGATCTGTGATTATAAATCTAAATACTAGACAACATTTAACCTGCTGGTGGCACTAAAGAAAAAGTCAGGGCATCACCAAAGGAATGATTCATCCTCTGGGGACAATGAATGTCTGAACAAAATGTCATGGAAGTTAATGAAATAGTTGTTGAGATAATCACTTCACTTGAATCATTTTTTTTATTATATTTGGACCAAAATGGGGGACTGACCAACCGACACCGCCATCCCCAAAATGAGAGCGATGACATGCCTGAGTACAGTTAGAGGTTCTTACTTGAGAGGGCAACGGTGTTTCCGCTGGAGTCGTTGTGCGTTCCTGTGCTCTGCTCACACTCCGTCAGAATACGCCCATAATGATACCTGCGACCAAAGATATGAGAGAGAGACTTACAATATATTTCTGTAATTTAAGAAATGGTAAAACACAGACTGTTCCTTATTTAGATTTCTAGTAATCCTCCCCCTTTAACTTCTGTTGTCACCAGTAGCTAGTTGTGTATTAATTCATTATTTCCTCTGTTCATGCATGAGCATAGCCAACATGTTTTTAAACATCATGCCAATAAAGCCTCATCAAACTGAACCGGATTAGGAAAAGAGAACTATCGATTAATCACGGAAACTAAGTAAGTAAGTAAAGCTTCTTAAAAAGTGTTCCAGATCATTTGCATGTGTGTGTGTGTGTGTGTGTGTGTGTGTGTGAGTGAGTGAGAGGACTTGTGACGTGGGCCGCTCACAGCCTCTGGATAACAACAGCCTACTTCATACCTTGATCAGCACCCATGTTGCGCAAATACTCATGAGGGGATTTGTGAGGAATGCAAAGCGGGAAAGAAGGAGAGTGAATGAAATGGAAGAAGTTCAATGATACGAGGGTAAGAGACCTGTTTTTGTGTATAAACACACATGGCATACAGTGCAATGATTCAGAGTAAAGTACACTTTTTCCATTACAACATTAATTTCCTTGGGCCAAATCCTTGACAAAGCCCAGCTGCAAATACATTTCATATTCCTGCAGAATAAACTGTAATATGGAGTGGGCCAATATTCCTGGACATCCCTTATTCACATCACCTATGCCTGCCGCTCTTCACTCATACTCATGTCCCAGACAGCCTTTTGCAACTACACCATTCCCACTCTGTGGGAATTTAACAGCAGGTGCCCCTGATTGCACCTCATCAAAAACCCAGTCCTGACATGGTTCCAGTCTAGTCTGGCAGCCCCAAAGAGACCAGAACCTGGCAACACACGGTTGCACAAGCGGTTGAAGTTGGCATTAAGAAATGCGGGCTGAGGAGCAGCAAAGGAGAGCACATCCATGTGAGCTCGGCCGGTGCGCTGGTAAAAACTAGGACATGTCAGCAAAGAAAAAAACATTTGTCTTTTACCCCATCGAGAATGAAAAAGGATGTGACAACAGACTGTAAAACTAAAAGCTAATGAAAACCAACAGCAGCTACTGAGTGGGATATGAACTGGGACAAGATGTGCTTGGTTCTGTCAACAGAAACAAAATGAAGGTACAGGACACCTTTTGGTATTAAGGTCCCAATACTTTGACTAGCTGCACACAAAATGTACCCTCAGGGTCAGCCCAAAAGCTGAAAGTACCCTATGGTCTCTAACATGATCTTGCATGGAAACCTTCTTTTTCAAAAGAAGCAATTTAACTCTAATGTTGCTTCAACCCTTTTTGTTTTATACCTCATGGTGACCGCAGTCTCCATCCAGTCTGGCTGCTGGCTCTCCCATTCATCAACCGTGACCCAGTTAGAGCTCCGGAGCGCCAGCTTTGCCATAGCAATTCGGTGCTTAGCCAGCACCAGGCCTTGCTTCCCATAGCCGTCACTCACTGGAGACACGATGCCACCCACCACCTGGTACTGGCCTGAAGGGAGAGAAGACGATTAATATCGTGTTTTTTTTCTGGGTCACGATAGTCGATGCAGAAATGGAATACAAATCAGAAGATTAAGTAAATCTCTGAGATACTGATGTTAATATTATTAGTGCCTCGTCAGATCTGACATTTGAAGGCAATTGCTACAATTGATCTTTTTAAAACAGGGGGATGAAGGCGCTTGATCACGTCATGGAGCATTTCATTTTACTGTGTGAGCGATTTGAAGGGTTTAGAAACTGCCTTAAGCAATGAGAGATAGACTAAAAGTTTGACAATTCAAACTGTTATGAGGGAACACCGAAGCAAACTGAGTTAATAAAAAAAAAAAGAAAGTTTAAAACAGATGTATTTGCAACTGTTGCACAAACACTCACAGGAGAATAGAAACAGCTCTGGTGTGCAGCTTTCAGTAATTTTCTGAAGGTTACCCTAAAACAAGTCAGCTGATGTCTTATAGGTGAGGGGTCAAAGTGTAAGAGCATTATTTAGGTTCCTGCCCTCTGAAATGCTGCACTGTGATTAGAGCTGACTTAGGACCAGTATAATGACGTTGTTGTGACCATGCGACCGGGCCACAAACTCTAATGCAGTGCAGCTTTGGAGGTAAAGGGGTTTATATGGTTTATAGAAAGAGGACCTGTGTGCTGACATGGTTGTTACATGGCGTGGCAGCACATGACAATAACACAGCTTAGGGTGACTGAGAACGAGGAGTGCAACTTATGTCCTGCAAAATCATTAAAAAAAAGATATAGATAT